CGCGGGCTGCCGGGGCGCTGGCCGGGCCCTAGGACTCGGAGGCCTCCCGGCGACTCGGATGCGGAGCCTGCTCACCCAAGATCAAAGCCACCGGTGCTCTCTTTGTGTCCGCTCGGGATTCACCGCCTTGGGGCTGTCCATGGAAACCTAAACTGCTGGAACCCGAGGCAGAGAACCTCCCTTTGGCTTCTTGCTTTTTTTCGTGGGGGGGGAGGGTGGCCACTCCGACCTGGATTTACCGTTTTTGGCCCCCCTAAGCCCCCCCGTGCGGGGGGCGGCTGTGATCGCTGTGGCGGTTGGAGGTCGGGGAGCGGCCCGGGCTCTGGCCATGTTCTCGGATGAGGATTTCTGGATCGCCCTGTGAAGAGGTGAGTGAAGTCCGCCTGGCCAGGGCCAAGAAAGGGTTGGACTGGGGGCCCAGCCAGATGGACTATCTTGGCCGGTGCTGGCCTTTAGGTTGGAGAAGGGGGTGCCAGAGCTGAGGAGGGTTCCTTTGGCAGGGTCTGTCAAGGGAACCGGAGCCAGTCGCCAGGTCAGACCAGAGGCCTGGTGCCTTGGGGTGTGCCTCTTTAAAGACTAGGGGTTCAGGGAACCACGGAGTTTGGGAACCTGTCCAGGCAGCTTCCCTGCTTGTTTATTTTTGAGTTGAGGGGAGTTCGACTAAAGTAGGACCCAGGCCCTCGTGCCAGCGCCAGTCCTAGGCGGCTGCTTCTTCCCCCAGGGTTCCTGTGGGCCTTGGGACAGAACAACTTGGGATGAGGGGGAGGTTGCCACTGCTAGGTCAGACTTACTGCCAGGTTGGACTTTAAGGTTATTTCTTCCCCGGGCAGACATTCAGAGTAGTCTCTGGGAAACTCAAGGAACCCTAGATCTTTCACCAGGCCTCCTTTCTCTGAGCAAAGGAGAGGGGGTGTGGAAACTGACTAGTGTGTGGTCAAGGGGGTGGCTGGGCAAGAAGGAGGCGGGGCTGGGGGCAGCTCTGGCCCTGCTGTTCAACTTTAAACTACC